AGGCAGTATCACTATGGAAGTAGATTGCCCCATCTTCCTTCTGAGGAGTGGCTGGTGGGTTTGAACCGCCAGCCTTCTGGTTAGCAGTCAAGTGCAATAACAGTGGCCATTATTTCTCAATTAAAAAAAAAAAAAAAAATTAAGGTATAACATACAGTGAAATTCCTCTCTTAAGTTTTGCCAAACATACAGTCTCATAACTACTACCACAGTCAACGCAAAGAAAGTTCTACTACTCCTTATGCCCCTTTGTTGTCAATCCTTCTCTCATCCTCCAGTCAACTTCTGATTTTTTTGTCTCTATAGTTTTGCCTTAGCAAGAGTATCATATAAATAAAATCATCAAATATACAGTCATTTGAGTCCAGCGTCTTCCAATTGGCATAATCTGAGATTCCCCATGCTGCTGCAGGTATCAACAGTTTGTTCCTTTTTAAGCTGAATATCCCATTGTATGGATGTACATTGTTTGTTTATCCTTTCCTGACTAGGGGGCCATCTAGGTTGTTCTGTTTTCTGTGACTATGAATGATGGATTGACTTTTAAAATAAGCAAAACTGAATACTGTTGCAACTGCTGCCTCTATACAAAGGCAGAAATTTTGAAATCTTAGGAAGAAAGAAACATTAACTATTGGCAAAATTACAAAAAACAGAACAAAACAATCCACTAACAAAAAAACTGACTGTAATTATACAGTACTTGAAGCTAAGGCTATCCAGGCAACTAACAATTGATTTATTTTGGTTGCATTCATATCAATTCATGTTGATTAAAAGCTCAGATTAGCAGTTATGTAGTTTTGATGAATGAAAATGGAAAAAAATATTGCTTACTGAAAAGTCTGGTAGACAGAAATTTTGAAAACATGAAGTCAACTGGAAGAAAATAATGAAAGGAAGCCTTTTATGTATAAAAGATGAGCTAAGATCCCCTAACTAGAGAACATGAAGCTTCTTCAAATGAAGCCCCTTCTAGAAATAAAGCATAATTAGGGACGTAGAGCTATGCTAAACAAAACCATGAGGTTGGAGAGTGGTAAAGAAAAGTTAGAGTTTTTTTCTTCAACAGTGTAATGTAATAAAACCTCAATTATCAAAAACCAAAACCAAACCCACTGCCATCGAGTCAATTCCAACTCATAGTGACCCTTTAGGATAGAGTAGAACTGCCTTGTAGGGTTTCCAAGGCTGTAAATCTTTACAGAAGCAGACTGCCTCATCTTTCTTCCATAGAGGGGCTGGTGGTTCAAACTGCCAAACTTCTGGTTAGCCGCTGAATGGTTTAACCACTGTGCCACCAGAGCACCTTATGACAAGCAATAGCAAGTGTTGGGAATGGGACTATAACCAGGACATCTCACACTTTTGGTCAAAATCATAAAATCCCATATATTATAAAATTCTAATCAGGGACTACTAGTGGCAAATTAGAAGGAACAAGATTATTAACGAACAGAGTTGCATGGACTCAAACAAGGTGAGATAGGAGAAGAGGAAAAGCCCACAGTTACTATGTTTTTCACATATAACGCAGTCAGATATAATGCATGTTGCACACATAGGAAACTAATGTGTGAGAAGGTTGTGCAGTTTCCAAAAACTAAACAAACAAAAAAATCAAATAAAGCATGTGTTATTTGTATAAAAATATAGTACTCTTAAGTTGTATTTGACATTTAACTCAATCAATCATCTAAAATTTAAAAATTGGCCTCAGCAATAATAGCTAAGTCCAACAAGACAGAAAACCACCACTACTGGCAAGGATGTGGAGAGATTAGAACTCTCACATACTGCTGGTGGGACTGTATAACAGTGCAACCACTGGGAAATGATATGGCACTTCCCTAAAGAGTTGGAAATAGAAATATATACTAGGAATATATCCTAAAGAAATAAGATCCAGGACATGAATAGATATATGCACATCCATGCTCACTGCAGCATTATTCACAATAGGAAATAACCTAATTGCTCATCAATGGATGAATGGATGAACAAACTTGGTACATACACATAATGAAATACTATGCAACATTAAAGAATAATGAAGAATCTGTAAAACATCTCATAACATGGATGAACTTGGAGGACATTATGCTGAGTGAAATCACAAAGTCAATCACAAAAGGACAAATACTGTGTGAGACCACTTTCATAAAAAGTCAAAGGAAGGTTTACATACAGAAACGAATATTCTTTGATGGTTACCAGGGATGGGAGGGGAGGGAAGGAAAAATTACTAACTATAAGAGACACATTAATTTAGGTGAAGGGAAAAGCAATATACAGAAAAGAGGAACCAATATAATATCACTAAGGAAAAGGAAGACATGAAGAGGGGCACAACAGTTATAGACAACAAAGGTAAAGGCATATACATACACAATTCTGCATTATCATCAATAACATTCATCTATGAGTGGATACGGGAGTTCTGGTAGCCTAGTGGCTAAGCCACTTGACTGCTAACCAGAAGGCTGGCGGTTCAAACCCACCAGCCACTCCTTGGAAGGAAGATGGGGCAATCTACTTCCGTAGTGATACTGCCTCGGCAACCCAAGGAGGGGTCGCTATGAGTCAGGTCCGACTTGACGGCACATAACAACAACAACATGAGTGGATACACAGGTAGACAGGCAAGATGTTCAGGTATGAGTAGGGGAAAGGGACTATACCCATGACACATATAGGTTTGGCAGATGATAATTCTACATAGGTATTTGTATGTGTTGTAAAAATATCTATGTATACAGCAGAGCTAATAGGGGATAAAGTTATGAAAACGTTTTAGCCATAACCAAACATCCTGAGGGAACAAGTCACTGGTCTTGGGCACTTAGGATCATAATCTTGGGGGACACAAAGGACAGTTGGCAAAACACAGTCTACATCAAAGACAATGTTCCACATTCTACTATGGTGAGCAGTGACTGGAGTCATAGATGGTGCTTGGCTACTACTGCCAATCACTGTGAAAAAGATCACAATAAGAAATCCTGGATAGAGTGGGAGAAAAATGTGGAACAAAATTCAAAATCATAAAAAAGATAAGGTTTACTGATCAGGTAGAGACTAGTAGAATCCCTGAGACTGTGGCCCTTAGTCACCTTTCATGCTTGGAATTGAATTCACCCCCTTATCTCAAGTTTCAGCCAAACAATAGACAGGACTATGAAGTGACCACAAGAAGTAGGGAAATACACACTCTTTAGAACAATCAACCAGTGGAGATCAAAAGGGCAGCATTTGCCCAGGGATGAAGCTCAGAAGGCAGGAGTAGGAAAGAAAGATGAATACAAATGTTAACCACAGGGAAAAAGCGCTGTTATGCTGTGGGGACTGTATTCAATGTCCCAAAAGCAAAACGTATGAACAGTTGAATGGAAAACCACTTTTGCCCTATGAACTTTCACTCAAATCACAATAAAAAGTTAAAAAAAATTAAAATTAAATTAAAAAATCAAATGAACTTATTCCTTTTACATCTAATATATTCACATAAATGCTTACTTTAGCAGCTTTTCAAATGCATCCAAAAAGTCTTCACTGGTCATTATTGTACAGAATATGTTTCTTCGGATGTCGGTGTTCATTCTCTGTTTGCGGGCAAGGTCCAATATCTTTGAACTAACCTGAAAAGAGGAACAATTAAAGCATAGATCATACATGTCTCAATGAAACTTTCTGAGTGAGAAATACTTTTTTCATATTTTGGTTTAGTGTAGTTTCTAAAAAATAATGTGAGTAATATTTGTGCAGCTTGACTTAATATAACTGTAAATCAACACTAAGTCTTTATTCCCACAAATAAAGAAAAAACAGCAAGAGACAAAGAAAGCCACCGGGTGAGAAAAACACTTGATTTAGGAACCTTTTCTCACTAGTGGTGTGATCTGAGTCAGTTATATGTAAGAAATGAAATAAAATACAACCAAGTGGGCATAGCCACAGGAGCCTAAAATGACATGACAACTAAATGTAATGTGATACTTTGGATGAGATCCTTGATAGAAAAAGGACATTAGGTAAAAACTAAGAGAATATGAATAAAGTATTGACTTTAATTACTAATAAAAATAAATTACAAAGAAAGGAAAAGAATTTTAACAATCTGAACTCCAAGGCAAATGGAATAGAACCTCACCTTCTGGGGAAACACTGTATATCTAAGTTTTAAGAACTGAAAAATTACTATCATGTGTTCCCCCAATCCAATTTTTTTTTTTAAAATAAACAACAGAAATTATATCACAGATTAATAACCATTTCTGTCAGGTCTTCAAATATACATGTCTACACATATTAGTAATTATTCTATAAATAGCTATGCTAGCTAGGTAAAGCAATACACTAGATAGTATTAGGGAGAGAGAAGTAGTAACGTCAGGAATCACCTTACCATCCCTGCAAGTGGCTTCTGCTGGATCTTATTATCACTGCTGTCGATCATTGGGGCTCCGCTCCATGATGACCCTATAATCCACCAGCGGCCAACCTGCTCTGCATTCAAGACACTCTCCCAGGAGACTCGAAGCTGAGTTTCTGTACCCGAACCAGTGTTGCGCACCTGATAAAAAAAAGGAAAAAATGACCTAGTGGAAATGTTTCTAATTAGTTCCTACTTTGTACTATCATCTTTAAACTTTTTGTTTTTCAGTAATTGCATTTTGGTCTATGAATGTTTCTGACAAAAAAATCACTGACAATTGTGACAGTCCATTCTGTTTGGAATAATGCCAAAAGTAGACATACATGTACATATTTTATGTTGAGACCATATGATAACAAATATGGTTCTGTTATCCCCAAAAAGCATTTTCTTTGGAAAGTTGTTATACCAGAGGAAGAATGATCTCAGCGGTATAGACATGGGGGGCAAAACAGTGAGTTTGGTCAGGTTAGCAGGTGAGGAGCTTGGTTTTGCCCACGTCAACAACTAGTTTAAGACTGGGGCTGAAAGACTTAACCTAATTGGTTAGATCAGTGGGTCTCATCTCTGACTGCACATTAGAAATACCTTGTTGTTGTTATGTGCCGTCGAGTCGGCCCCGACTCATAGCGACCCCTCCTTGGGTTTCCGAGGCAGTATCACTACGGAAGTAGGATTGCCCAACCTTCCTTCCGAGGAGTGGCTGGTGGGTTTGAACAGCCAGCCGTCTGGTTAGCAGGCAAGTGTCTTAGCCACTATGCTACCAGAGCTCCCTTAGAAGCTTAAAAAAATGATGTCCAATACCTCCCCTACCCTCCAAGATACTGATTTAATGGGTCTGATGTGGGACTTTGCTACTGGCATTTTCTTGAAAAAAGCTATCAGATGATTCTACTGTGCAGCCAGAGTTCAGTACCACTGGGTTGATGCACAGGATGCTTAACTAAGAGGAATTCTTCCCCATACAACAAAACATTCCATACAAAGAACACTGAGACTACACACAAAAATCTCAAGATAGAAATACAAAAGCTTCAATTTAATATCTTTAAAACTCTTTATTAACATACATGACACCTGACTTTTAGATCCTGATCATTTTAACTTGAATTATGGGTTCATGTTGACATGGAAGCTCAAAACAAATTCATATTACAGGTTGGTTATTTACCAAAGCTCTTTGTAACTTCCTCAGTTTCTCTACAGGCTCAGGATCATAACCAGGAATTTTACGCATGTCGTTATTCTTCAGTGCCAACATGGTCTCTAGCATGAACCGAATCTTATAAAAAATAAAAAATTAGAAAACCAATTATTTCAAATATTCCAAACAATTGATTATTCAAGTTTTTAAGAAACATAGCACACTTCATGCACATGGTCATCACTGCTCATAATACAAAAATCACAGACAGTCTTTAGGTACAGATGATGTTGTTGTGTGCCATCAAACTGATTCTGACTCACAGCAACCCTACAGGACAGAACAGAACTGCCCCATAGGATTTCCTAGGATGTAATCTTTACTTGGTTGTCAGCGTGTGGTACTGTGGTGGCTTACATGTTGCTGTGATGCTGGAAGCTATACCACAGGTATTTCAAATACCAGCAGGGTCCCTCGTGGTGGACAGCTTTCAGCAGAACTTCTAGACTAAGAAAGACCTGGCAATCTAGCAAAATTGGAAGCCGTGGAAATGAAATGGAACAAAGAAAGATCGTTATTGTAGGCATTAGTGAGTTGAAATGGACTAGTATTAGACATTTTGAATTAGATAATCAAAAATTCTACTATATTGGGAATGACAAAATGAAGAGAAATGGTGTCACATTGATCACCAAAAAGAACATTTTAAGATCCATCTTGAAGTACAATGCTGTCAGTGATAGGATAATATCCATAGGCCTACAAGGAAGACCACTTACTAAGATTATTATGCAAATTTACACACCAACCACTAATATTAAAGAAGAAGAAATTGGATTTTTTTTTTTAAACCAACTTCTGCAGTCTGAAATTGATCAAATATACAATTAAAATGCATGGATAATTATTGGTGCCTGGAATGTGAAAGTTGGAAACAAAGACGGACCAGAAGTTGGAAAATATGGTCTTGGTGTTAGAAACAATGGAGACTGGATAATAGAATTTTGCAAGACCAATGACATATTCACTGCAAATACCTTTTTCAACAACATAAACAGTGGACTATACAGCTGGACCTCACCAGATGCAATAGCTCAATATTATCAGTCTGACAGAACAAGGCCAGTGGTCAATCAAGGAACAGACCATTAATTGTTCATATGCAAGTTGAAGCTGAAGAAAATTAAAGTAAGTCAAATTTAGAGACCATTTCAAGAACAGATTTGACAGAATGAATACTGAAGACTAAATGACTTGTGGGATGACATCAACAGTATCATACATGAAGCAAAAGGTTACTAAAAAGAGAGGCAAGAAAGAAAAGACCAAAATGGATGTCAGACTTGCGCTAAAGCAAACAGAAAAGATGATGTAAAAGAGCTGAATAGATTTCAAAGGGTAGCTCAAGAAGAGAAAGTAAAGTACTATAATGACATGTACAAAGACCTGGAGTTAGAAAACTAAAGGGGAAGAATATGCTGGGCATTTCTCAAGCTGAAAGAACTGAAGAAAAATACCCTTAAGTGCAAAACTGAAGGATACTATGGGCAAAATACTGAATAATTCAGGAAGCATCAAAAAATAGAAGGAATACACAGAATCACTGTACCAAAAAGAAATGGTAGAAGTTCAACCATTTTAGGAGGTAACATATCAAGAACCATTGTTACTGAAGGAAGAAGTTCAAGCTGCACTGAAGGAACTGAAGAAAACCAAGACTCCAAGAAGTGACCATGAAATGTTTGAATAAATTGATGCACAAGTGTAACTGCTTTTGTTTAGTAGCTGTAATCGCTCACTCACTCATCTGTGCCAAGATATCTGGAAGACAGCTACCTGGCCAACCAACTGGAAGAGATCTGTATTTATGCCCATTTGAAAGAAAGGTGAGCCAACAATGTGGAAATTATCAAACAATATCATTACTATCAAATGCAAGTAAAATTCTGCTGAAGGTAATTAAAAAACAGATGCAGCAGCACATTGTCAGGAACTGCCAGAAATCCAAGCTGGATTCATTCTCTGAATCCAAAAATGTAGAATAAGGGACATCATTGCTAATGTCAGATGTTTCTTGGCTGAAAGCAGACAATACCAGAAAGATGTTTACCTGTGTTTTAGTGACTACACAAAGGCATCTGAATGTGCAGATCATAACAAATTATAAATAACTCGTAAAGAATGGAAATTCCAGAACACTTAATTGTGCTCATGAGGAACCTGTACATAGATCAAGAGGCAGTCTTTCTTTGAATAGAACAAGGGGACACTATGCGGTTTAAAATCAGGAAAGGTGTACATCAGGGCTGTATCATTTCACCATACTTATTCAATCTGTTGCTGAGCAAATAATCTGACAAGCTTGACTACATGTAGAAGAATGCAGCAGCAGGAATGGAGGAAGACTCATTAACAACCTGTGATATGCAGATGACACAACCTTGCTTGCTGAAAGTGAAGAAGATTTGACGCACTTACTGATGTAGATCAAAGACTACAGTTTTCAGTATGGATTACACTTTGACAGAAGGAAAATAAAAATTCTCTCAACTGGACCAAAAAGTAACATCATGATAAACACAGAAAATACTGAAGCTGTCAAGGATTTCATTTTACTTGGATCCACAATCTATGTCCACGGAAGCAGCAGTCAAAAATCAAGACTTATTTCATTGGGCAAATCTGCTGCAAAAGATCTCTTTAAAGTGTTAAAAGGCAAAGATGTCACTTTGAAGACTAAGATGTGCCTGACCCAAGCCATGGTCTTTTCAACAGCCTCACATGCATGTGAAGCCAGACAATAAATAACAAAGACTGAAGAAGAACTGATGCATTTGTATTATGGTGCTGGCAAAGAATACTGAATATTGAATATACCATGGACAAATCTGTCTTGGAAGAAGTATAGCTAGAATGCTCTTTAGAGGTGAGGATGATGAGATTCTGTCTCATTTACTTTGGCCATGTTATCAGGAGGGACCCATTCCTGGAGAGGGACATCATGCTTGGTGAAGTAGAGGGTCAGCAAAAAAAAGGAAGACCCTAAATGAGATGGATTAACACAGCAGCTGCAACAATGTGCTCAAACCTAGCAATAATTATGAGGATGGTGCAGGACTGGGCAGTGTTTCGTTCTGTTGTACACAGGGTCACTATGAGTTGGAACCAACTCAGCGCCACCTAATGACAAGCTTTACAAAGGCAGATCGCCAGATCTTCTCCCACTGAGGAGCTGGTGGGTTTGATCCACTGACCTACTTGCAGTAAATGCTTACCACTGCACCACCAGGGCTGCTTTTAGGTAAAGATAGCCTCTATTAATTTTAACACCCTATTCAGGGGTATAAAATACCATATATGAAATTGTAAACTTGTCACCACTGATGTATTGTACCTGCACGTATCACTTCCTCCACTTGTCTTCTGGATCCCAACCTCTTTTACCCTCTATCATCCTTTTCTATTAGCCATCCTTTTCTCTCCCCTACATTTTCAATCTCTTCCCCACTACTGGTCTTTTTTATTTAACTTATTATTTATGAAATAATATCAGACTTACAGAAAAGTTAAACAGTACGAAGAATTCCTATACATCTTTCACTGAGATTCTCCAATTGCTAACTTTTTACTGGCCTATAATTCACATACTATCCAATTCATCCATTTAAAGTATAAAAGTCAGTGATTTTAAGCATATTCACAGAATTGTGCAACCATCACCACAATTAGAGTATTTTCACTGTCCAAAAAAAGAAATTCCATACCCATTAAGAGTCATTCCTAACTCCCAACTCCTTTGGACCTGCTGTTTGTTGTTAGGTCGATTTCAACTCATAGCAACCCCACAGTACAGGGTAGAACTCCCCGAGTTTTCTAGTAATCTTTATGGGAGCAGAACACTAGGAACTTCTCCCACAGGGCTGCTGGGTGAGTAGGTATTTTTATCATATAAGCCATCATTTAAGTATAACTTACTGCTCTTATCTTAAAATCAATCCCTTCTACTCTACCATCCCCTCTTCTACATTTTCCAACACACTCTCCTCTTCTTCAAAAACTTTTCTAATATTTAACTATAACCATCTATGACCTCTATTTAACAATCCAAAGTTAAAATTTTAGCCTGTATCTTTGCTCGACCTCTTAGCATTCAACACAGAGGATAAATCCTTCTTGAAACACTCTTCACTCCTGGGTTCTGTGACTATCCTCTGTGTTTCATTCTCATTTGACAGTTCTACCTCCCCTATGCATTTAAATGCTGGAGCTCTTTAATCTTAAGGGCCTCTTCACTTCTTGCTATGTACTAGCCAATTTTATCTACTTCCAGTGCTTTAATGATCAGTGATGACTCTGCAATCTCCTAACCCATGTCTCTCTTCTCATCTAAATATCTAATCCAAAGACAAAACAAAAAAAACCTCACACTTACTGCCATCGAGTTGATTCCAACTGATAGCAACTCCCATTGGGTTTCCAAGGCTGTTAACTCTTCATGGAAGCAGACTGCCTCATCTTTCTCCAGTGGAGCAGCTGGTGGGTTTGAACCATTAACCTTGGGGGGTTAGCAGTCAAATGCCTTACCCACTGCGCCACTACAGCTCTATGGATATCCAATTTAAGTACTTTAATTTCAATGTCTCAAGAACTGGGCTGTCTTCTCCTCCAAATCAGCTTCTCCTCTAGTATTTGTCTTCTATACAGATGGTACCACTATTCACATGTGATTTCTCAAGCTAGAAATCTGAGGGTGATCCTTGACTCTTCCTTTCCTTTGTTCCTTCTTCCACATCCAATCTATACTAAGACCCATAAATTTTAACTTCAAAACCATATCCACTGCTACTATGCTAACACAAGCCACCAATCTTTCCCTTAGTCTGATGTATCTTCCAACCCTGACTACTTCAAATCTTTCTATATTGTAGGCCAAATGATCATTACAATGAAAAATGTCGACATGTCATTTGCCTGCTTAGAATCCTCCAATCCGCAGTATGTCTCTAGGATAAAAATCACAGTGCATGCAATGGTTTAGAGTACTTCTTAAGAGAACACTGCCTATTTCTCCAGGTTTCTCATATAATCTTTTTCTTGGTCCCTCAAACATGCCACATTCTTTTTCATCCAAAAGGCTTTTCATATGCTGTCCCATGATGCCTCTTAATCATTCAATGAATAAAATGAGGTGAGAACTATTACCAGCCCTGTTTTATAGATGATGAAATGACCGGGCAGACGTAGGTTATGCTACTGGTATGTGGCAGCACTAGAAGTCCAACGTAGGCTGTCTTGACACTTGCATACCATGCCATACAGCCTTCCTCAGCAAGCATTTTTTGAATGGATGAATGTTAAATCAATCAATCTTAAATACATGCCATATTTACTTGAGTTCTTTGTAAAGAAACAAGGTCCTTTCACATGTAAATGATAAAGGCATAATATTAAATGAAGCAGAAGATAATAGAAATCATGAATATTTAAATGCAGTATTTACCACAAATAATTATGTTTAAATTCTGGTCAGTCTGTGAGCATTTAGGCACTTATGAAGCAGGCCAAGTGATGTAACCATACCCTGGTTTGGTCCTGAAACTTGTTGCCTGCTCTGCTGGCTTTCTTCTGGGCTTCAGTGATCAGCTCCTTAAGTGATAAAGCGTCATCTTTTCTTAGTGAAAAGCCAACATTTTTCAGCATTAACAGGATCAACTCAATATCTTTTTCTGTGAAAGTTTCAATAAGTTTTTTCAAAATATCAAAGATGAGGAGAGACTGTACCACGTGGAAGTTATATAAATGGGCAAGAACAGTAAAAAGGTTATCGCATTCCTTCCCTTCACTTCCATTTTTATATACATCATCAAACTTCCTCACCACAGCCTCCAAAAAGTGAGCACCAACCTGAATGAACAAAGAAAAAGTATTAGTTAAAAACACATAAAAATAAATTTTAGTAACTTATTCTGAGAGATCCTTCTTCCTTCCAATAGGTACTTAAAGCTTTACATATGATGAAAACAAAACAAAACAAACAAACAAAAAAACCAAACTCACTGCAGTCGAGTCGTTTCCGACTCATAGCAACCCCTCCTTGGGTTTCCAAGGCAGTATCACTATGGAAGTAGATTGCCCCATCTTCCTTCCGAGGAGGCGGCTGGTAGATTTCAACCGCCAGCCTTCTGGTTAGTAGTCAAATGCCTTAGGCACTATACCACCAGAACTCCTTACATATGATGAGATTCAAGAACACTGCATAGTAAAAGATATCATAAAGCAATTAGCCACAGTACTCAAATCTCTTAACTGTAAGCACACCCTCTTTTCTTTAAAATCTATAAGGTAGTTTTTTGGTTAGTGGTGTTATTGCTGTTATGTGCCATCGAGTCGGCCCCGACTCATAGCGACCCCTCCTTGAGTTTCTGAGGCAGTATCACTACGGAAGTAGATTACCCAACCTTCCTTCTGAGGAGTGGCTGGTGGGTTTGAACCACCAGCCTTCTGGTTATCAGTCAAGTGCCTTAGGCACTATGCTACCAGAGCTCCCTTTTGGTTAGTAGCCATTCTGATTTCTTAGAAAAAGAAAATTGCTTAATGTTTTGTTTAAAACATGTTTATATCTCTAAACATTTTTTTTATAAGGAACCAATACAACTGATATAGAAAGTGAAAAAACCAGAAACAACATATTATCAAGTAATGACACAGTTACGAAATAAATAGTTATTTAATAATGACTGTAGAGGACACAAATGAGCTCTGGTAGTTACAGAAAAGGAGCTCTACAGTGGTTAAGGCACTTGGCTGCTAGTAAAAGGTCAGTGGATTGAACCCACCAGATGCTCCATGGAAGAAAAGGCAGTCTGCTTCTGTAAAGATTTATAGCCTTGGAAACCCAATGAGGGTGGCTGTCAGTCAGAATTGACTTGATGGCAGTGAGTTTGGTTTTTGGTTTGGTAAAGGACACAAATGGAATAGACAAGATTGTCCCTATTTTCAAAGGGTTAAGATTCTCATTGTCCAGGCAATATGCAAACAGTTTCTTTCTTTTTCTTTTTCTTTTTTTTTAATCATTCTGATAAATTTCTATTCCAAAGCCCATAGTATACTTTGGAATATGAAAGATCTGGATTTGAATCCAAGTTTACCCACTTGTCCCAATCTATGTGGTCTGAGCAAATTACTGAACTTCTCTTAGTTTTTCTCTCTTTATAAAACTGGGATAATGAAACTGGAAGGCAGAAATGGTGGTTATCATTTTTGTTGCTGGGATTACTACCACATCATTTTCTTTCACATCTCAGTTCAAGTTGAGAGACTGAAAGAATGGCAGCATGGGCACACAGTGATACGAAGTTTGTCAACAGTCTAGTTAAGAAATGATTATCAGAATTAAGGCAGTTGTATTGGATGTGGAAAGAAAAGAATGGGCACAAGAGTGACCCTGTGACAGAACTGGTAGGTTGAGGTGATACACGGATGTGAAAGATTACATGCTCATGGTTCCCAGGTTTTTGTCTACATAATAGGATAGATGACAGTGGCTGTAACTAGAGTATGAAATATGTGAGGAGGAGCAGATTAGGGGAAGGTGGATAAAATCATTTAAGACTTACTGAGTTTGAACTGTGGGAGTCTAAGTGGGATTTATTGTTGATATATAAGTGATAGTTAAAGCCATGGTGAAGAAGATAACATCAATGAGAAAGATTAGCGTGTAATGGGAAAACACACATTCATTGCTACACTGTAAAAACCCAATGCTAGAAGTAATTAATGCCACTGAAACAAAAGTTTAAAATGATTTAAAATGGCAACTTTTTTGTTACATTTATTTTACAATGAAATTAAAAACCAACAAAAACAAAACACAAATGCTGGAGGAAGCCACAGAAAGAAAATACACTGGTAGAAGAGAACAGACTTCATGGAGGCAATCTCTGATAAACTGGCTCTGTTTTTAATTTTCAAAGACTTGTAAATTCCCAACTCAAGCTCCTCTACAAAAGATAAAACTGAATGTAGTCTCTTAATATGACCATATTATATTGAAATATAACTTAATTAATATCGCTGGGTGGCACAAATAGTCTGAGTTGGCTAATAATCCAACCCATTTAAACCCACCCAGGAGTTCCATGGAAGATCCAGGCATGGAGAACAGCCTCCATAAAGATTATAGCCAACCCAACTCTGTGCCAAATGGAGTATCTCTAAATGAACACATTAAAAAAATAAATGCCTCAAAATACTTAAAAAAAAAAAAAAAAGAATAAAATCTATGTTGTTACTTAATACAATTACTTAAGTATATATATTAATTCTGATAAGGGATTTTTTTTAAAAAAGCAAAAATCTGCATATACCTAGTTTTTTTAAAAAAATAACTTTTAGAAGCAATTCAGCTGCTGACACCATGGTCTTTAATATATTTTTTTTCCCTTCCCTGAATTCCTGTGAGGATGTTTTTCTCGTTATAGAACTGAAAGTAGTTTAATGGAACCAGCATCCTGAGAGCTCATCATACTTTGGCAGAAGTTTTAGTGGATGTCATTAGCTAAAGTACTATAATGACTTCCCCTTGGAACAAGTCATTTCAGTTGTCCTTCATGCTATTAGTGAAGGTATAAATGAGAAGTAGGACCAATAATCTCATGTTTTCAATTCAAGTAAATTCCTGATATGTTTTGAGTGACTGCGTCTATGGCTTTTACTGTAACTCACTGAAACACTGTCTATACTAAAATCATTTTGATGGTTTAAATCTGTTCATAGTATAGCAGTGTGATTTAGGAGGACCAGAGGAATGTACTAAGAAAGCCATATAATGGCACTGAATTATGGCAATCAAAGGGTACTAAGAATGGCGTTCAGTGATTTCATTACACTTTGTAATGGTAAAAGAAAATGGACTTACAGCATTCTTAAGTGAAAATGAGTATAGCTTTTAGAAATTAAAAAAGAATTCAGAAGTGTGATTCCCAAAATAGTTGGTACAGATTTTTCACAAGAGAGAGTACTTATATAGTTAAGAGGAGAATCCTACTGCCCAGGAGACTCAGAGCCAATGCTATTCTCTCTTCTGTCTCCTGCTTCTAATACCTGGTGGGTACTAAAGTCTTTATCTTTCAAAAAATGTCTATAATGTAACTATTGCTGGATAAGGAAAATGTAGTTAAGAAGATTATCTAGGAATAGCAATAAAACCTGCAGTGATAGGAAAAGCTAGCTAGGAAAAAGTGGAAGGAACAGCAGAGTTTCAACACGAAAATTTCCTTTCATATTAAAAACAATCCTAACTTCAATAAGCACTTACTATCGGCCAGGTGCTTTTCTAACCTTATTATATGTAATAACTCATTAAATTTAACAACTCTACAGATGAAGAAACTGAAGCACAGAGAGATTACCCAAGTTCACATACCTAGTCGGTGGCAGAGCCATGTTCTGATTTCAGGAAGTACTCTTAACCACCACTCTGAACTGCACTAGACTGCTTTCATGTTTCTAATAACCAGAAAGGTAATTAATTGATTTTGGCAAGTTTGTCCATCTTAATGTAAGCCTCTGACAGTCCCACTCTGTTGTTGTTGTTATGTGCTGTTGAGTCAGCCCCGACTCATAGCGACCCTCCTTGGGTTTCAGAGGTGGTATCGCTACGGAAGTTAGATTGCCCAACTTTCCTTCCGAGGAGTAGCTGGTGGGTTTGAACTGCCAGCCTTCTGGTTAGCACTCAAGTGCCTCAGGCGCTATGCTACCAGAGCTCCTAGTCCCACTCTACAAGAGTCCAAATCATTTTTAAGACTATGATTAAGAGCAAGTATCATAAAAATGAAATTACTTTGAATAGCATTGTGGTAGAAAACAATGATGGCCCAGGAGTTAGGAAAACAAGTTCTAGTTTATATTTAACAAAGCTTGTGATCTTGGGATAACTACATAACTGTTCGGTGGCTTTGTTTGCTACATTTGCAAAGTGGGGTTAAAGAGATACCTGCCTTACTTATTTCACTGGGAAACTGTGAAGGTCAAATGTAATGAAGACATAGACATGTATCAACTTACACCAGCAAATCAGACTTTTAGGTATGCTTTGCTGCCTTGTGCTATTGTTGGGAACATCAAGAATACTAAGTATCATAAGGCAAAGAATAATTGTGAAAATTAAGCCTTATTTACTACCTTAGTATAACCTCCTTTAATCAGATCAATATTCTTTTAACATAACGGAAAATGAGCTACATTGTGGGAACTAGAATACTGAGTAGGAAGGGTATAATTTTATTGCATTATAGTACTGAAGGAACTCTGGTGGCAGAGTGGTTAAAGCGCTCGATGGCTAAACAAAAGGCTGGCTGTTTGAAATCAGCAGCTGCTCTGTAGGGGAAAGATGTGGCAGTCTGCTTCCATAAAGATTCATAGCCTTGGCCATGCAACTATTGGTCTCTCCTGATCCAGAGCAAAATAAAGTGAAGAAAATCACAGATGCATTAAAACAATTAGTCCAAGGGTCTAGTGGACCATAGGAACCTCAACCTACATCATCCTGAGACCAGAAGAACTAAATGGTGGCTGGTTACCAGGGCCAGACACTCTGAAAGGGATCAAAATAGTAGATCATGGATAGAGTGGGAGAAAAATGTGGAACAAAACTCAAAATCATAAAAAAGACCAGGCTTACTAGTCTGACAGAGACTGGTGAAATCCCTGAGACTATGGTTCCTAGTCACCCTTCACGCCTGGAATTGAATCCCTTCTCCTGGCTTAACTTTCAGTCAAACAACAGACAAGCCTATGAGGTGAACAATTACATCAGAGAGGTGCACCCCTTAGAACAATCAACTCTGGGAGATTGGAAGGGCAGCATTTACACAGGTATAAAACTCAGAAGGGAAGAATGCATAGGAAAGGCCAGAGGGAAAAGGTTATCACCTTTTCCCTCTGGAAGTGAGAGATGGCTGTTACACTGTGAGGATTGTAATCAACGTCACAAAACAAAATGTGTATAAACTGTTGAATGGAAAACATATTTGCTCTGTACACTTTCACCCAAATTACAATAAAGTTGGAGGGGGGGAAAAAAAAAGATCCACAGCCTTGGAAACCCTGTGGGGAAGTTCTACCCTGTCCTATAAGGTTGCTAAGAGTCAGAACTGACTTGACGCAGTGGAGTTATACTACTAGAAGAGGACAGGGCTTTAAAAGGTAGGTGTCTATGGGGCAAGTCACTATCATTGAGCCTTCCCTGACTTTAAACCACCAGAGGCTCACTAAGCAAGGACAAAGGATACAAGAGAGGTGGCTGTTGAGTGGGGGACAAATTTGTATTTAGCACGTATTAGGTACTAGCTAGATACTTTATACATGTTCAATTTAATCCTGGCAAAGCTCCACATAATAGCTATTGTCATCCCATTTTATAGATGAGAAAACTGGCAGAGAAAGGACATCTAACCTACTGGGAAGGGAATTAAATTAAGTCCAAATTTTTTTCTTGTATCTCTTTTAATACCCAATTTCATCACATAACCTGGTGGCCTTCTTATTGAGTAAAAATAACCAATAATCCATTACAAATACCTCAGTAGCAAAACCATGAAAAATCACTATATTCAAACATCTGAAATAAATCAATTTTAAAGTAGGGAATATAGAGAAAATGGGAAAGTAGGGAATATAGAGAAAATGGGAAAGTAGGGAATATAGAGAAAATGGGAAAGTAGGGAATATAGAGAACATAAGGGAAGTCCAAGATGTCAGTCCAGAAGAAAATAAATTAACACATAAATTCATTTAGAATGCACAGAAATAAGAAGCAAAATTGGCCAAAATTAAGTATTTACTGAATGCTGTTTAGACTTACACGATATCAGAGTTATACACTATTAACAAACTGGAGAGAATGGCAGGTAGGAAATAAGTGAGCAAAACACAAACCATACCTCAATTCCTACTGTGTGATGAAGAATGCTAACTAGAAGAACATGCTCCATCATCAGCCTGCTGGGCATGACCGTGTCAGTTACACATGCACTCATAAGAATGCCTGTAAAAGTGTCATTCATATCCTTCCTACTATTAGCCATATACAATTCCTCCAGCTGTCCACTTATAGAGGCCATGTTTGGTTCACTCAACCTGTACAGAATTATAAATACAAATAGCAACAATGTTTAAAATTAAGAATTATTTTCAGTTCAATTAAAAAAATCCGAAGACTTATTAATACTATCAATACATCCTATTTTATGTACAGTTTTGAGCCATGAACAATATCTTGTCCTAATAACATAGCATACACAGTACACAACTATACAACACTCTGGAATCTTTAAATAGTGTAATTGTTAGGAATTGTTACATCTCTTTACAGCTGAAACAAGGCCATAATCAACTATTGACAGGATACTCTTTAAGCCAAAGGAAACTTTAATGAGGTATTTGCCACTGTGTATCCTGATCTAATGTCTCCACATAGAGGTAGGGAACCACGCTTAGACAGTATTTGTTGTTAGGAAAAAGTCTCATTTTTCCACTTTTTAGATAGCATAAAATTCTTTAGTTTCTAACTCTGAGAAAAAGTTGTTCCATTTTACTGGGTGGAGAGAGAAGAATACATATGCACTTGGAGGATTATTCATCGATCTGAACTCTGAAATAGCACATTAGATAACATTCCAAGGTGCACCGTGGAAATAGTGTTCTGGTTTTAATTTAAAAAGAGTAATTTTAAAAAGCACGTGATATGGGAAGGGGAGTAGGTATGGCTATAAAGGGGTAGCATGAGGGAGCCTTGTGGTAGTGAAATCATTCTTCTTCTTGAGTGTGGTGGTAGTTACACAAATCTATATATATGAAATTACAGAGAAACACACATACACAAATGAGTGCAAAATGAACACACATAAAACTAGTAAAACTGAATAAAATCTGTGAATTGGACCTATGTCAATTTTCTGTCTTGTTTTGAATTTTGATAGAAAATTTTTTTAAAAAAATTCTAATTATGTAAGATGTTACCTTTGGGGAAAACCGGGCGAAGAGTACACAGGACCTCCCTGTATATATTTTTTGCAACTCTCTATGAATCTTTAGTTATTTCAAAATAAAAAGTTAAAAAAAAAAAACCCAAAAAACAATGCATATTCAAAATGTGGCAAAAATATGTTTTTAGAAGTCAGGATTGTGGTTATCTGAGTGACTGAGAAGAAAGGTATGAGAGTGGCTTCTGGAGTGAGGGTAGCGAGGAAGAGCTGGAGACAGGCATGACCAAATGAGAAATTTTAACTCATTTTTCAAAAACAGAGCTAATGGAGGAGGGTAACTGAAAACAGCCCCACCTATATGGTTTCCAATCACCTTTTGTTTTATTCTTAAATAACCAAAAAAGAGAAAAGAAACCAGGTATGAATATATGAATAATGAAAAAAGGAGGAAGAAAGACCACATTCTTGGTGGGGAATGATACTATGGTGCCAGTGAGCTTGCATCTGCTATGAAAAGAGCCCGAAAAGGATATGCTATGAAAAGGACCAGAGGTCCTACCACTCTATTTCTCCAAAGACCGAGCCTCTCATCCTCATTCATTTGTGACTCACATGCTTCTTAGAATAACAATGTAAGCATGCAAATTGCTTTCAAACTTTGGAAAGATTTAAAGTACCAAAAAACTGAGCAACATCTTCTTAACTAGGCACTAGGCCTGGATGCTTAAGAGTGGAACAAAAAGGTATCATCCACTCAACCACTATAATTCCCAACCCCATCAGTACTAGTTTAATTCTTGGGATAATTTCTATAGTTTTAGAAAACAGTCAACCTCTTTAAGTGACAAAATACAACATTTTACCTGTTAATGAGGCCTTTTACTTGTTTCTTTAACCTTTCCAATTCCTCCTTCTTTTGGGGATCTACTGTTTCTGCAGCTCGCCTCACATGAGGTGGAGTATACTTCTTACAACTTTCACAAAGGCTCTCCTTGCAAGAGAAATACATTACAGAATAATCCACATTAAATGAATCCCATTTTTTTCCTTGCTAAATGCGTATTTTGGGAGCTCTGGTAGCATAGTGTCTAAGGCACTTGACTGCTAACCAGAAGGCTGGCGGTTCAAATCCACCAGCCACTCCTCGGAAGGAAGATGGGGCAATCTACTTCC